ATAAGCAAATGCCTAAAAGAAATAACTGAAGTAATCTCCATAGCAAGGGTACAGCCTGCATCAGCTTCCAACTAAGATTCTCAATTCCCAAAGACAAGAAACCCTGTCTGAGGTAGCCCCTGAAATGTTGTTAAATTTACTAATTGGAGGAGCACAATCATGTCCAAAATGCTCTAATTGGAAGAGGGCAGCCGTATTAGGTTATGGTGGTAAAAAAAAAAAAAAAACCAGGAAACTATTAGCACTTTTCTGACTTTTAATAACATTTGTTGGTTGAAAAAGATGCAACTCCACTTCTTACTTTACTAAGTCATTCTTTTGAACTAACAATTTAGGTGTATTAAATAAATTAGCAGTCAGACTAAGGATCATCTTAAAGGATTTCTCATATTAAAAAATACTGTGTTTCTTGGCAAAACGTGGGGTTAATTTCAGGGATGCTTTATATTGAATTGGCACTGCATTGGTGAAACCACACTTGAAATACTATGTCCAATTCTGCTCACCATGATACAAAAAAAAATGCTTCAGGCCCTAGGAAGAATGCAGAGAAATACAACAAAATGATAAGACATCTAGAGGTTAACTTGTTCAATGAACACTTAAGTAAATTGGGTAAGGTATGTGTGGCCTAAGAATTAAGGGTGACAGGATAGCAGTCTTTCAATATTTGAGGGGAGAAAAAGGGGTTGATCTATTCTCCAAAGCACTTGAGGGCAGGCAAGAAGTTACAGGTGAAAGATCAAACTTAGGAGAAATTTCCTAACAGAACAATTATCAGTGGAACAGCTTACTTCCTGAAAGTGCTCTATCAATGGAGATTTTCAAGAAGGTTTGGACAATTTTTTGTCCAGGTGAACAGGTGGTTTTCTCTAGAACAGGGGTGTTAAACTGCCGGCCCGTGGGCCGGACGCATCACGCAAAAGTGGAGCCCACCCCATTGCCAGCAATGGCAAAACAGTCCCAATACATTGTGCGACATCACGTGACATCATGAGTTTGACATGTCTGGTCTAGAAGATTTCCAGAGTTCCTTCCAACTCTGTTATTGTATGTTCTATGAGTTCAATTAAAATATGACCAGGATAGACACCATCTGCTATGGCTGAAAGTCAAAATCGTAATTGGAGCAATAGTGGGACTTTATAACCCTGGCAGGACCAGAGCTACTGGATATTGTCCTTAGGAAGATTACTGGGACTATTAAACCAGGGACAGATTGTGATGCTTGGTGTTTGTATTTCCTCTTCCAGGATATTTAAGGTATAATGTCAGATTATCAAAGCCCACGAGTAATCTTTATTCAAGGGCAGCCAAAGTTGAAGAATTCATTCAACATTTTAATTATTTAAGATGTGTTCAGAAAAGGGCTGCATTTTCAGGCTTAAAAAATACACATACAGCATAAGTATGGTTGCAGAACAGTATCAAAATCTCGTCAGTATTTCATGAGCTTTATAAAGTGGTTTTTTTACACCCACCCACCCATGCCCAAGCATATTAGTCGTGCAAAAAAGGAATTTTCCTATTCATAGAATTTTAATTCCAAACTTAATCATCATTCCTCTTGCATGTTTGTGGGTGACTTTCAATTGTTATTGCTGTGGGGGCTATATGCTGAATTTCTTACAATCCATGAACATCATCCCATAATATTAAAAACAAAAGCAGGCAGAATCATTAGGAAGAATTCCAGTAGGATATCAAATAAGAAGGATAAATGCTAGTGAATTTTTTTCCTAACTATGCTTGGCCTTTCCTTGATAAGAGGCAAAGATTAAAATCAAATGAAATTAATTCCTACAATTGCTTGCATCCCATATTTTTGTAAACCTGTTTATCAAAATGCCACTGACATTTTCAATTTTTAAAAATTCATTTAAATTTCTGCCATATTATGGTGCTTTTAACTTTTAATGATAACAGTTTTTATCATTGGTAAAGTTGGAGCTCACACTTCTAGTGGTTCCATAGTTTGAAGTTTGCAGTCTCAGAAAAGAATGGTGATAATGATATTGTTCTTCCAAATGAAAATATTTAAATGTAACAGCTAAAACTTTTGCTTACTAGGAAAACAAAATAATTTTATGAAGTTCCAAATGTATATTATGCAATCCAGTGCAGATTGAAATTTAAATAATCTTGCAATATTGCTTGTTTTTATTTATCTACTGAATGAATAAGTGTTATTTTTCCAGAAAAATAGTAGTAATATTAATAATAGCAATGCTATTTATTCTTTTTTTTCCTGTGGTGAATTATTGGTATCTTCCCGCAGAAGGAAAGTATACTTTTTTTTTTTGCACTGAGATAATATTTTTTCCCTGGATGGAGCAGATTTCATTAGAAACAAAGGAAATACAATGAATATAGAACCATAAAGTATCTTTTTGCCCATAGCTTTAACTTTATCTACATACAACTATTAAAAATGTAAGGTTCAAATTTAGAAAATTAGCTGCGTTCTGAAAAGTTTGAAATGTATATTGAACAGACCATTTCCTGTTTACTGTTATGGATTAATTAATTCAACCACTGTAACATATTATTTCCAGTCTAATCCTACTTTGGATCAATACCTTCTTCCATTGTTAACGCTGGCTTTAAGAAGGCTAGTTGCTAATTTTCCAGGCAACTTGCATGTAGAGAAGCCCACTTTAATAGTAATTAGAAAAGCTAGACTAAAAATGTATAGGACAGTTTTTAGGATTCAGGGCCTAAATGGTGTGATATTTTTTATTCCTTTAGTTTGATCTTGTAGAATGTTGGTTTCTGTGTCCTAAGTGCAAGGATAATCACAAAGCTTTAAGCTTTTGAAGAGAAGCTGAGCCATTTAGATTTCAGAATCTGGATTAGGTTGTGCAAAGTATTGTGACTTGCTGACTGTTACTAAATAAGTCATTTTAACTGGTCTGGCACAGAAAGAAAAGCTGTGCATGCAGCTTTATCCATTCTCTCCATGGCTGTGTAATCTTCAAGCCATTCATAATTGGGTTTTTCTTGGCCAGGCGAGGGATTTTCCCTACCTGTTTGCTGTGGGGCACTAAAGTTATGGCAACTAGCCAGCCAAGCCAGCTTTAGCCACCTCTTTTTATTCATACAAACATATACCCATGTGCATAAGTACACTTTTTAGATTTGATTTTTTTAAATATTAGGATATTGGTGAACCAATATCATGTAGAGCCTTAAACACTTCTGTTCTTCAGTAAAAAAACAACAACACCGCTATACAAAATTGTTTCTTTTTTCTGCCACATGTCTAAATTATGAGCCTGATGTTCCTTCTTTGAAAATCATAATCGATTGGCTACTTGGTGGTAAGATGACTTTGCTTACACCACTCCACTCCAAATTTTCTGAGGGATATAATACAATGATCAAATTGGACTTGGATTCAAATCCCCACTTAGCCATAGAAACTCATTGGGTATCCACTACATCGTTCAGCCCAACCTGTCTAAAATGTGTGTGTGTGTGTGTGTGTCTGTGTGCATACACTTTAATACTTTAATAACAGAATAATCAGAGAAGCCATCGAGATAGAAAAATGCGCACACAGCATGAACAAACGAGATGATACCTCCCGCCTACCAGCCATTTGGAAACCCGCCCTTATTGACAAACGAGTCCCTAACACAAAGAATGACACCAGACCCACACTCACAAAAGCCACACAGGATGTCACCCCCACACGTCCACACAAAAAGCAAACCCAAACCCACACCGATGATGAGGCACGACTACAAACCAGAAGCCAGACCACAGCTGCATCATTAGCACTTTAAACCCCTCCAATCCATACATGAACCAAACTGACACCCACCACGAAGATGAGGCACGACCACAAACAGGAAGCCAAACAATAGCAATGCTCACCATCTCACATCCCTGTGCAACTCAGACTAACCTGAGCACAACAAAGCCCCCACCCAAACAGAACACTCCCCCAACGAATCAGAGCACAGCCAACCCCCCATCCAATCAGAGCACAGCCAACCCCCCATCCAATCAGAGCACAGCCAACCTCCTAACCAATCAGAACACACCTCCATCCAATCAGAACACAGCCAAGCTCTCATCCAATCAGTTCATACCCACTGGCAGTTAAAAGGAAGAAACTGCTAAGACCACACATTGCTCCTGGAAGCACGAAGCTGAAAACACCAGCCTGAAGATGACGAATGGGACTTCGTCGAAACGTCGCCAAGACACTTCCAATTTTATGCGGGAAAAAACCCGAATAACCAAAGACATATCGAGACAGACAGACAGACAGACAGACAGACAGACACACACACACACACACACACACACACACACACACACACACACACACACACACAATTTTGAGCTCCTGGAGAAATAAGGAATGCAAAATTTGCTGTTCTTTAACAGGATCCATTCCTTTTCACTAAATGATCACATCCCACTTAATGGCTGCTTTCCTGCTCACTCCTTTCGCAGATTACCCCCCTCGCCCCACCCACCCCCCCTGGACACAGAGATATACAATATTGTTCCAAAAAAATGCCAACCAGATGCCATACTTGTCCAGATTAATGTTGAAGGGCAAAAGAATGTTGTAATGTTCAATTTGAGCTAATTTGGCTATGGAGTATACAAGTGTGAATTAGAAAAAAATAATGTTTGTTTCTCAATTGCAAATTAACATACCCATCCCATGCACCTTTGCATAGGTGGGAATCCTGTAGATGTGTCAATTCAGTGAACTTTCCACCTGGTAACTTCTGGGCTTTGTTGATGCTTGAGGAAGAGCCAGGTCATCTCCACCAACATCACTCCAACCAGAATATTCTCTGAGCAGCAGTTTCATGTCATTGTGCTTTGATTGTTCATCCTTCACTGGCTGCAAGAATAAGCTTCTCGCTTGGGCTTATGTGCCGTGTTTAACAACGTTGCACTGTAAAATATGTCATGTTTCCCAGAAGTCAGAGTTCTAAAATAAATCTGTTGATTCCTTCCCCCTCCTCTCTCAGAGCATTAAGAAGAAGAACACCAGTAAGCAGGAGATGAGCACCTATTTGCGCTTCATTGTCTCCCGAATGAAGGAACGGGTGAGTATGTAGGATTCTAAGCAGATAGGTTTTTTTCTGTGTTTTCTTTTGCAACTTCAAATACTTACAGCTAGATTGCTTGAGACCATTTGAAGTTATAACGGACTCTATCTTCAGGATGCTTATGATCTGGAGTGGAAGTTCTGATGGTCAAGTTCTCTCTATAGTCATATGACTGAACTTTGTGCGCTGAACTTTATGGCTATTTGCAGTTTCTGCGGTCACACAACTGTATTCTACAACCGTTTTGCTGAAAACTGGCATTTCTGGTTTTTAGCAAAACCACATCATAGTGAACAATGGGTTTGCTTAATGACTTCCATAGCTGCTTTATGACTGCCGTATTTACTTAAAGACTGCTGCAAAAGTTGTAAATTGGGGTAGGTCACGTGACATCTCTTTTACAACCATTACAACTTATAACCATAATGGAGAGTCTCCATTATGGTTGTTTGTTGAAAGCTGCATGTGGTTGACTCTGTAAATGGAATAGGAATTATTTTCTATCTTCTTATTTCCCCCTTAAGTATCTTTGTTTCTCCTCCTGTCCCCATTCTTCACTTGAATAGATGAATTCACCCAGATAAAAGGGAGTGGAAAAAATATAACATAAAAATTATGTGAATATGAGCTGAAACCTTCCAGTTTCACTCCTGTTTACAATAATCTCTGAATAGATGCGCATAATTCTGTTCAGCAGATGTTCACATTTGAGACAAGCTTGAACAACTTTCAGCTAATCAGAAGAGAATTTTCTCGGTAATAGTTGGACACAGATTAGATGCCATGCCTGTCAAATGGTCACAACTTAAGTGGTCTCGTGCAAGGGGTTTGCACATAAACCTGCATCTTTGTATCTTTTCTGTTTCAGCGTCTCCCATCCTTTTAATCCTGACAATTGTTCAGAGACATATTTGTTGGCAAAGCTGTTTCATGTGTTTGATTTTAAACCAGTGTTTCCATAAGGCTTTTATTGTGCATTCTCCACCATTCTTCCTTGGGTTTATCTTCCATTTATTTTTTTTATTATTTCAGTTTTTGTCCAGACACAAAATTTATGATGTTGGAATAAGTAGAGTATCCGCATAACTTCATGATTTTGAAATTTAGTGGTTTAAAGGAACATTTGAAAAGGACAACCAAACTCTTAATTCTTACCAATACAGTTCAATCTCAATTTGCCAAATTCTGTTTTGATACATTATTAATCTTTGATAGAATGTTTTATCCACTTTGACTAGCCCTATGCATTAATTAAAAAGTCAGTATTTTCAGACATCAGAACTCCTGCTTGGAAATATTGGGGAGAAAAAAATAACCTTTCAAGAGTTGGATGCTGATTCAATATATCAATTTACACAATGATTGATTGTTTGAAAAATTAAAACACATTTTTGGGAGGAGATAGAGTTTTTCTAATATTAGTACACAGAAAAAACATTTAGGGTTTTTGTTTCTTGATTATGCCTTTTGAACTTTAAGAAAATTAAGTAGCCTACATGATAGCCTTTTTGGAGTAGAACTTTTAAAAAACTTTTTATTTGTAAACTGGCATGTAATTCAAATTCTTACAAACTATTTTAAAGGCTATGCAACTCTTCTTCCTTCTCAGAACAACAGGTTTCTAAACCAGTATTTTCTGGCAATTTTTAGGCTATTGATCTAAATAAAAAAGGCAAAGACAACAAACATCCAATGTATCGTCGACTAGTACACACAGCTGTTGATGTTCCAACCATACAAGAGGTATGTTCCTATATAGTTCTGAGCTACATATTACAACAGAAGAATATTGGCAGTTTTCAGACTAATCTTATTTTTGGAGGCCCCTTATCCATACCTGGAAACCCCATTCCATTTAGTTCTATCTAGAACAGGGATCTTCAGGCTTGGTTCTTTTATGGCTTGTGGACTTCAACTCCCCGAACTCCTCAGCCAGTGTGCCTGGCTGAGAAATTCAGGGATTTGAAGTCCACAAGTCATAAAAGGACCAAGTTTGAAGACCCTGATTTAGAAGCAGTTTGTATGAGTTACTTAGGTGAAGATCTAACTGAAAAGGACTACTAGATTTTCTTTATGTAGAAAAATGCTTAGGATGAAAGATGAGACCAGAAGCAAACTAAAGCTACTCATTGCACAATTTCACAACTTTTAAGTTCCCATAAATTATTTTGTAGAAAGTGTAATATAAACATACTTTTATATGTGTGCTTATTCTGATTACTGGACAATGCTAATGAATGTTCTTATAATTCTGTTTCAATTTATATAGAAAGTAAATGAAGGAAAATACAGAAGTTATGAGGAATTCAAAGCAGATGCTCAACTGCTTCTACACAACACCGTGATTTTTTATGGAGGTAGGTAGGCACTGGTTGGACTTAAAAAATAAGATCTTCAAGCAAATGGCATCTTGAGGGTAGAGCTGATTATAGAGAATAAAGAGCAAGTGAGAACTTTGCATTACGTTCAGTTTTACTTGTCCCTCAAAAGTGAATTAGACAAAGTCATGAAAATTAAGCCAACGTGATGGATCTGTATTATTTCCATTATTAGAAAGCAGATACTTGAATGGAGAATGTCAAAGGGCTTTACAAAAGGAATCTCAAGGAAAGTATTATGAACAATTTATGAAATACACATAGTCCTTGCTTACTAACTGCATTGTTAATAACCTTTCAAAGTTATGATGGCGTACGATAACCAATCATTGCATTTATGACCATTGCAGTGCCCTGTGGTTATGTGATCACCTTTTGTGTGTTTTACAACTGGCATGCAGCAATCAGAGTTAATAGAAAAGGCAAAACTAAAATTGTAAGTTGCAGTCATGTGATGTTTCACTTAATAACTAAAGGGGAAGTGAGATCATAAATTCATTGTGGTCACATGTTTCATTTAGTAATTTGCATCTCTTAGCAATGTAGTTGCTGTCCCAGTTGTGGTTGCTAAGGAAGGACTATAGTAAGCCCTACTTTGGGGCAAGGCACACCCCTAAAAATCAAGCGGGGTGGGGGGTGAAGCTACCCCCCACACACACACACCTGTCGTACTGCTACTTGACTTCTGCAGCTGCTTCTGCTGCTCGCATACTTCAGGCCGCTTCCGCTGCTTCCGCAGCGCTTCGGGCCACTTCTGCTTACGCAGTGCTTCAGGTCGCTTCTGCTTGCACAGTGCTTTGAGCTGCTTCTATTGCTCAGGCGCTTTGGGCCACTTCTGTTGCTCGTAGCAGGAGACCATGTGGTGCTGCGGGCCATTTCTGCTGCGGAAACGGCCCAAAGAGCCATGCAGCATCCTGCCGCGAACAGCAGAAATAGCACAAAGCACCATGTGGCGTCCTGCCGGGAGGAGTGGCAATGGCGCAATGCGCCACATGGCATCCAGTGGCAGCAAGCGGCCACAGAAGTCAAGCAGCAGCGCGACAGGTATCGGGGTGTGGGAGGCCTGGCTGTGGTAGTCCTAAGGTAAAACATTCTCTGAAATTAAGACCTAGTGCCTCTTTTGGAGGCAAAAAAATATATGAGACCGGGTCATAATTTACTTGGACTTCAGTAAAGCATTTGATAAAGTAGATCACAACCTACTACTTGACAAGATAGAAAAATGTGGGGTAGACAGCACCACCACTAGATGGATCCATAGCTGGCTGACCGGCCATACTCAGCGTGTGGTCCTCAATGGAACCGCATCTACATGGAAGGACGTGTGTAGTGGGGTGCCCCAGTGCTCTGTTCTGGGCCCAGTGCTCTTCAACATCTTTATCAATAATTTGGACGAGGGGATAGATGGGGATCTCATCAAATTTGCAGGTGACACCAAGCTGGCAGGAATAGCCAACACTTCAGAAGACAGGCTTAAGATACAGAAGGATCTGGACAGACTTGAACACTGGGCGCTATCTAACAAAATGAAATTCAGTGGTGAAAAAAGCAAGGTTCTACATTTAGGCAAGAAAAACCAAATGCACAGATATAGTATAGGGGGTACCTTGCTCAGTAGTAGTAACTGTGAGAGGGACCTCGGAGTCCTAGTGGACAATCACCTAAATATGAGCCAGCAGCGTGCTGCAGCTGCCAAAAAGGCCAACACAGTGCTAGGCTGCATTAACAGAGGGATAGAATCAAGATCACATGAAGTGTTAGTTACAATGCCTTGGTAAGGCCACACTGGAAATACTGCATCCAGTTTTGGTCACTGCAATGTAAAAAAGATGTTGAGACTCTAAAAAGAGTACAGAGAAGAGCAACAAAGATGATTAGGGGACTGGAGGCTAAAACATATAAGGAACAGTTGCTGGAATTGGGTATGTTTAATGAAGAGAAGGACGAGGGGGGACATGTTAGCAGGGTTCCAATATCTCAGGGGCTGCCACAAAGAAGAGAGAGTCAAGCTATTTTCCAAGGCGCCTGAAGGCAGGACAAGAAGCAATGGGTGGAAACTAAGCAAGGAGAGAAGCAACCTAGAACTCAGGAGAAACTTCCTGACAGAACAATTAACCAGTGGAACAACCTGCAGCCAGAAGTGGCGAATGCTCCAACACTGGAGGCTTTTAAGAAGAGACTGAACAACCATTTGTCCAAAATGGTATAGGGTTTCCTGCCTGAGCAGGGGGTTGGACTAGATCACCTCCAAGGTTCCTTCCAACTCTACTACTACTACTACTACTACTACTACTACTACTACTACTACTACTACTACTACTACTACTATTTCAGGGAAACACGGTAGTTCTTTTATTTAAGCCAGCACATATTTTCTTATGTTTTCTTTTTTGTTAACTTTATTCAGAAATTAATTTTCTTTAAGCCATGCGATACCCAAGCAGATTTTTAAAAGATTTGCAAAACAGAAGAAGGCTTGGCATGTACAATCTTTTGTTATCTAGCTCATTAGAGGTTTAAATCAGGCTGAAGGGACTGAAGGCACTCTGGTTTTACAAGCTGATGGGGCCTGTTCCTCCAGAATTCAATTGCCTATTGTTTTTCATCATATCATTTACAAAGACTTAGGTGTTTGTGGGTATGTTCTTCTTATAGTGGACAGTGAACAAGCTGATATAGCCAGGATGCTTTACAAAGATACCTGCCATGAGGTAAGTAATATTTAGTCATGTTAGTGACTTCTGAACAATTGTCTTTTCAGATTCCACATACCAGTGGTTTCATTTGTTTTGAAAATTGTTATGGAAATCAGAAAAAAATTAAAAAACATACACTGCATTTTGATAGCTTAAAATTAGGTGTGCTTCAGAAACTAATTGCCTATATAATTATAAATTCTTTTTGTGGTTTTTTTTATAATTTTTATAAAGCTAAATAATTTTTGAAAGCTAAATAACATTTTTATCTCATTTGTGAACAGTAACACATCAATAAAAATAAGTGAAGAAAATGAGTAACATTTTATATGATTGTTGTATTGGTACCTCCTTTAGAAAAGGTTTTCTTTCAAAAACAAATTCACATTTTAATGTCAGTGAAAAGCTAAAACACCTGAACAATGATAGTGGATTATACTTCAGATATTTTTTAAAGATAAAAGGTGCCAGAATAATTTGAATGAATTAATGTATTTATGTGTGTCTGTATGATTTGTCTGTTTTGAGTAGCTTTGTTTCATCCTTAGAGTAAAGGTTCTCAAGAACTTTTTGTTCAGTTTGTACTACTAATATGTTTCTGAAATGATTAGAGACCAGTTAAAAATTTCTATGCATCTAACCTTCAAAGAACATGCATATACTATATATGAGCGAATCCTAAGTTATGGATATGTACTCAGTTTCCTTTTATAAACTGGTATTAAGTTGGTAGAATGAAAAGACCAGTGGTTACTACTTTAGTTAGTCAAAGTTTAATTATTTGCTTTAAAATTTGACTAATTATTTTTTATATGTAATATATGAAAAGGTCTATTTTTACTTAATTTTTTCTTCACTTTTTCCCTTTTTGTGTTTTTTTATATGAAACATAACTTCCCAGGAAAGAGAAAAAACTTAATGATTTTAAATTGGCAAAATAACAGTTTTCAGCATTTCAGAACATATTTATTGAGGGTAATAGTGTTTTACTTCTTTTTTTCCTCAGCTGGATGAACTTCAGCTTTGCAAGAACTGTTTCTATCTATCAAATGCGCGTCCTGACAATTGGTTCTGCTATCCTTGTGTAAGCTTACCTTTTCTCACAACTGAGAGTAAATATGGAATTTGCTGCCCCAAGAAATGGTGATGAGAATTATCCCAGCTGTCTTAAAGAATGGGATTTATTGAGAATATGAATACAGCCATCAGACAAAATTGTAAATGTTAGTTTTGCAGCCACCGCTAGGTGGAGTCATTTTCACGCCAGTACAAAAGACAAGATCAATTGTCTCAGTCACAGATCATATTTTTACATTTCCTTGACCATAGTGGTCAGTTCATGTCTCTCTGGCATTGGGGAAAGGACTGGTACTATAATAAAGCCCTGCCAGTATTTTCCTGGCTTAAGGCTCACAGAATACAAGCATTTCTTGGAGAAATTGGATGAACACTGCATTCTCAAAATAGCAATCTATAACTCAAATTAGTGTGCTTGTACAGCTGATTTGGTATACATTAGATGTCTCCCGTGCATGAAAGAACACAATGCCAATTTTTGCTTATAAGAAGAAACATTTATTCGCTTGAAGACTTGAGTTTCTTTGTCTAAGTTAACAATGCTTAGAAACTGCCAGCACAATTATAAATTGTTATATCATGTGAGAATAGTCTGTTAAACTGTGCTGACAATGGTGTTATATAGACCAAAGTAATGATCACTGTTGTCAAGACTTAGTTAAACTCTATCATGGGTACGTTTTATTGTGGAGTACTTGGTGCTCTATCAGTTTAGATGTTTTCTTATAAACTTTTCATTACCCAGCTAAGCAAACCACTTGTGTATATGAAGTCCAGCACTGATGATATTAGCTAGTTGGGTAATGAAGCTTGGCAAGAAAACCACCAAGCTCAAAGAGCACCAAGGACCTCACAGTGCAAACCTGAACTCCAAATATTCTTTTCGGTTGGTAACTTTTATTTTCATTATGTGATACTGTTATACCTAACACCTGCCAAGTCAGAAATACTTCTGTACTTTACCATGTTTCTTTAATTTTTAGATACCAAATCATGAACTGGTATGGGCCAAAATGAAAGGCTTTGGATTCTGGCCTGCGAAAGTCATGCAGAAAGAAGACAATCAAGTTGACGTTCGCTTTTTTGGCCATCACCACCAAAGGTATTTTCATTCTTGCAGTGTCTCTTATATGCTGAGACAACCAGCACACCCCTGGGTGTGGTAAAGAGTGGATTCAGCCCAGACTGATGCAGGTTCAAATTCACTTGAACTTTGACCCATTCTTTCTCAGGCCAATCAACCACACTGGATTGCCTTTGCAAGATGAAATTGGAGGTGGACATGTTGTGGAGCTGCAACTGGAGGAAAAAGATCTAACAAATAAACAACAGGGCGCTTCTCTTTCTAGGTGTGGCGAAATGTGGTCTGGATTACTAGGAGGGAGAGGCTACATTCCAGGGGACTCGAAGGCAGCAAAATTTAAACAGTTTGGTTGAGAGAAAGAGAGTTAAGACAGCTCCTCCCTATAGATTTTCAGATTATATCTATAGGGATGCAAAAGGTTGCTTCAGTTTGGCAAGATTTCTGTCTAAGAATGAAGGACAATAAAGGACACTGCTTGAAGGTCACTTTACAGTAAGGGAAAAAATTATTTGATCCCCTGCTGATTTTGTACGTTTGCCCACTGAAAAGAAATGATCAGTCTATAATTTTAATGGTAGGTTTAAGTTAACAGGGGGAGAATAACAACAACAAAATCCAGAAAAACGCATTTCAAAAAAGTTAAAAATTGATCTGCATTTCAATGAGCGAAATAAGCATTTGACTCCTTCGCAAAACATGACTTAGTACTTGGTGACAAAACCCTTGTTGGCAATCACAGAGGTCAGGCCTTTCTTGTAGTTGGCCACCAGGTTTTATACACATCTCAGGAGGGATTTTGTCTCACTCCTCTTTGCAGATCCTCTCCAAGTCATTAAGGTTTGGAGGCTGACATTTGGCAGCTCGAAACTTCAGGTGCCTCCACAAATTTTCTATGGGATTAAGGTCTGGAGACTGGCTAGGCCACGCCAGGATCTTAATGTGCTTCTTCTTGAGGCACTCCTTTGTTGCCTTGGCTGTGTGTTTTGGGTCATTGCCATGCTGGAATACCTATCCGCAACTCATTTTCAGTGCCCTGGCTGAGTGAAGGAGGTTCTCACCCAAGATTTGATGGTACGTGGCCCTGTCCATCATTTCTTTGATGTGGTGAAGTTGTGCTGTCCCTTAGCAGAAAAATACCCCAAAGCATAATATTTCAACTTCCATATTTGACGGTGGGGATGGTGTTCTTCAGGTCATAGGCAATATTCCTCCTCCTCCAAACACGGCAAGTTGAATTGATGCCAAAGAGCTCAATTTTGGTCTCATCTGACCACAACACTTTCACCCAGTCCTCCTCTGAATCATTCAGATGTTCACTGACAAACTTCAGACAGGCCTGTACATGTGCTTTCTTGAGCAGGGGGACCTTGCGGGCACTACAAGATTTCAGTCCCTCATAGCCTAGTGTGTTACCAATTGTTTTCTTGGTGACTATGGTTACAGCTGCCTTGAGATCATTAATTAACAAGATCCTCCCATGCAGTTCTGGGCTAAATCTTCACCGTCCATGATCATTGAAACTCCATGAGGTGAGATCGCTCCAGACTGAGGGAGATTGACAGTTATGTTGTGTTTCTTTCATTTGCGAATAATCGCACCAGCTGTTGTCACCTTCTCAACAAGCTGCTTGGCGATGGTCTTGTAGGCCATTCCAGCCTTGTGTAGGTCTATCATCTTGTCCCTGACATCCTTGGACAGCTCTTTGGTCTTGTTTTTACTGTCAGCTTGTTACCTGTATAAAAGACACTTGGGAGCCAGAAATTTTGCTGATTGATAGGGGATCAAATATTTATTTCACTCATTAAAATGCAAATCAGTTTATAACTTTTTTGAAAAGCTTTTTTCTGGATTTTTGTTTTTGTTATTCTATCTCTCACTGTTAAACCTACCATTAAAATTATAGACTGATCATTTCTTTGTCAGTGGGCAAACCTACAAAATCAGCAGGGATCAAATAATTTTTTCCCTCACTGTATGTGTTTTTCTTGTTTTTTTCAGGGCCCTCTACTAAGGCTCAGTAAAGTTCTAGTGTTCTCTTAGCCATAGAAGCCAACTGTGTGACTTGGGCCCAGTCACTTTCGGGCATCCTAGTCAAGCTCACCTCATAAAGTGGTTTGGATGGGAGAAACAGGAGTAGCGATCATTACATCTTGAGCTGAACAAAGTAAAGTGAGATATAAATCCATTAAATGATGTTCTGTCTTCCTGACATAAGTGATATTAGACAATCTGAATCCTAAACAGAACCTGTCAAAGAACTTGCTTCTTAAAATTGCCACAGGTAGTTGTCAGCTAACAGTTGTTTATTTAATGAATGTTCAAAGTTACAATGACACTGAAACAAGTGACTTATAACCAGTTCTCACACTTACGACCGTTGTAGCATCCCCACAGTCATAGGTTCAAACTATAGCTGCTTTGCAACTGGCATGTATTTTCTGGGGTCGCAGTGTCCTGGGATTGCCATTTGCAACCTTTCTAGGGAGCTTTTGACAAGCAGAATCAATGAGGAAAACCAGATTTGCTTAATAACCACATGATTTAAATAACAACAACATGGTCAAGAAGTGAGTCGTGCCCCATTTGCAAAGTTGTTTAGAATTACCTGTAGTCTTTAATATATTTGAGATTAATTTTTTTCCATACCATAAACTGTGTCATTGTGGAGCACGTAGATATTAATAAGGTTAACCATATTGAGAAGGTGGAATTACACACAGAAGTAATTGTTGCAGTTTGGACTAGAAGAAAATGAAATTTGAAATAGAATTAAAATTAACATTGGGAATGTGTGAAAGAGTATGGCAGGGCGGGGGAGACTCAGTGTTATATCTATGACCTCGCCATCAAAACCCAATGGAGAAGACTCTTTTCATCATTTAGGTAAGATACGCGCTCTTGGAGTTGAATGGATGTTTGTAACAGAAAAGGATGATTTGAAAACTGAATTGGCAGCTCCTTTCAAAGGATGTGCTTAAGTGTGTCTTTTCATTTTCATTGTGGAGGGCCTGGATTCCTTCTGAAAATATTCAGGATATCACCGTTAATATACACCGGCTACATGTAAAACGTAGCATGGGCTGGAAAAAAGCATGCGATGAGTTAGAGCTACATCAGCGTTTCCTTCGGGATGGCAGATTTTGGAAATCAAAAAATGAGGATAAAGGAGAGGAAGAAGCAGAATCAAGCATTTCTTCTACCAGTAATGAGCAAGTGAGTAGATGGATTGAATTATCCCAGTTGATTTAGCCCAATTGCAGTTAACCATTGAAGCTCAGCTATTTCTTTAATCTTCTTTTTTCTTATCACAGATCTGAATCGTCATATGGAAAACTCTGTACACCAAATTCTGGGTCTAAGATAATCTGTTTTTAATTGTTGTATTTGATCAACAGATTTGCAATAAAAGCAATTCCTCTCTCTTTAAAGAAATTCTAGAATTGGCACCATTGTTTGTACCTGAAGTTTATATACAATTTTAAATCTCTTATTGAAACGAGTTTTCTCTTTCATTGTTTGCTTATTTTTAAATGCATGGTTTATAGAGTGATTCACATTGGATTCAAATCCCAGGACAGTTGTGGAGTTTAGATTTTGTTTGCGTTCTTGTTTTAGGTGGATGAAACTAATACCTACTTAGTTGGGTTTTGTTTCTCTGCCTACTTTGTTCCAGCTTCATTTAGAGAAACAGGTTAGAGCGTGCCTCTGTTCTGTTTTCTCAGATAAAAAAATTCCAAGCCCTCTTTGTAATGGACTTTTTCATGTACTCTGAAAACTTATGGGCATAGCAATTAAGAGGTGGAGGCACCTTGGTATCCAGCTGCCCTTAGTTTGTATATTAATTTTTGGGAGTGTCATGGAAAAACCCAATGTAAAAGACAAGAGACAGCAACACAATAACAATAATTCTTACTCTAGGATTCAGAGGTTTATTTTGCTAATAATTTGGAACATAGCAAGCATAATAAAACAACATCACTTTCATTAATACCCATTGCAATGAGGACCATATGACATAGCAGAATCCATTAGGACAGCTATAGGCCAATGACAAATCGGTTAGGTCCAGTTCCAACCTTTTATACCCTTTCTCGTTCTAAGACTGTAGTCAGATGGTCCGCTGACCTTTGCTGACTTGGTATTTACTTCCTGCTGACCTACTTTCCACATATACCCGTGTACATTGGAACCCACATTCATCAGCTACTTTTCAGTTCCCTATTTCTCCCACAGTTACAATACTCACGTTCCAAATATACACAGAACTATCTACTTTACAACTTTATATTGCACAAAACTCAGCAGATTATAAATAGTATGTTCCTATTGTGAAACAGCATAAAGTTCAAGTTAGAGCTTCAAATCACTTCTGTGGAGGCCTGTTTCAGGTTTGTTCTACCCTTATCTTGTTATATGAGGAGGGGGCTATATTTTCATCTCCCACAGTCCCCACTTCTTGTCCGTAAAGACAACACAAAACATAAGCAAAAAGATAAGATTAGAAGGATTCTGGGGTAAAGGGTCTACAATAGTTTATGAGGGGCATGTAAAGAAAGTATTTTATGGGGGAAACATACAACCTCAGTAGGTTTAAGACTCATAATAAAATAATACAAATTCCAATAAACAACAATACAACTATAGTCCATACAGCAGGCATGAGGCATTTTCCTGTTGCAAATCATTTCCTTCATGAGCCTCTGGACTTCATTGTGCTGGAAAATGTGGTATAAATAGTCTAAGGATGACAAATCAGAGTTCACTTCTTGTTGGTGCTGTTTGGGCTGGAGATTGCATGCTGGTGGGGAGCAAAGGTTAATAGCACTTGCTCTCCTGTTGGGCAAAGCTTCAATCTTGCCTAGGTGCAGTCAGGTGATTGGGACTGGATATCTTCCTTGTCTGGGGCTGGTACTTTCTTGCAGTGCAAAATATGCATCCAGGAAGCCAGATCTTGATACCGCACAGCAATGTCAATAGAATCTGGAAAGGTCCCTTTCAACAAGGAGCAAAGTAATTTTTTGATGAAATACTTCAGTCAAAACCTGATCACCAGTCTTCAAGGCATAACAAAGATCTAGTGGTTCTTTGGGTGGAGCAGACCTTAGGGAAGCTGAAATATCTCAAACAAAATATTTATAGGTGGGAAAGGGGAAAGGGGAAGAAGGTAAAAGGAGAGGAAGGGGAGGATATTGTGACAGGAGCAAGGTTGCTTGCCACTGGCATGACTTGCACTGGTCTCCTGTTAATGACAGTCTGGAATAGCAATGAGGAAAACTTGGCAGTAGTCCAACATTGCATCCTTTGACGCATGGATGTCTTGTAGAGAAGATGGCAGTCTCATAAACCTCACAGACACGCACAAAATAGACCCAGAATAACATATCTTTTTTTCCCTAACTTTACAAGTTTACTTCCCCTTTTTCTAAGTTTCTCCTCTGTCATATGTGAACCATGACCCAGTTTTTGGTAGTATAGGACAAGCATTTTAGCTTTATTTCTGTACTTCCTCTCCTTGCAGTTTTGGCTGATATTCAACTGCTAGCTGCCTACCTAATATTAAAGCAGCTTGAAATTTTCCATCTAACATATATTAAGCTGTTATTTTAAACCAACAAAAATTCCATGTTCTATTAAGTGTGTTTCCTTAAAATCGTACTTCAGCTTACAATGGAATAATTTTAGCACGCTGATGTTCAATTTCCCAATTCATACTGCAATGTTCAAATAGCACATTTCCCCCCCTTACTTAGGAAAGTAGTTTAATGTTTTAACTAAGCAAAAATTAAATTGAACAGAAACCCCCGCCCCCTTTTTTCTTCCTCTCCCTCACTCTTTCAAGGCAGAAAGTCCCCAAGCAAAAAGAAAGAAATGGCAACCAGCAAAGGAGATGGAAAATGTTGTAAAAATGTTCAAAAGATTATACAGAAATTTTTCCCCTATTTCTATTTAGCATTCTTCCAACTAAATAGGTATCTCTTTTCTTTTTCCTTCTCTTAAGTAAATCACATACTTTCTTCTTCCTCCCTTTCATGAGCTCCTCTCCCATAGCACTGTTCTACAAAATCATTTCATTTCATTTTCTCATATCCTTGCAAACACATACTACTGCCTTCCTACTTATTTCATAACAATCTACAACTTACTGTTCCTTTCATAGCCTGGGGTTACATAACATTTACCCAAAAAACTGGGGAACTGGGGGTGTATAAAGGATAAAACAAAAGGCAAAATATAAAAAAGACAAAACTTGTGAATACGTGAATGAGCAGGGAATAATGACCCACCCAATCAGGCTAACATGCTTGTGGTTACATTTTTATTTTTTTCTCTCACCATGCATTAATCTATCAATTCAATCGCTTTATCCGGTATACGTCACTCCACACACACTCTAATCATGGTTGAGGGCAGGATCTCGTTTTTGTTCCTGTTTTCCTCTCTGTTCTTTTCTTTTATCTTTTTTTTTTTTAATCTCTATTTGTTCTCCTCTAAGACAGTCTAGGAACCCAACTATCCAGGGGCAATAGAAAGGAGTTGAACCCTGCCAGCTCAGGCAGTCCTTATGTATGGAAAAGGTCCATCCCCTCTTTTTCAGTAAAACTACAGCAGCAATAGAGAAATAACATGCTACCTCAGCAAAAAAAGGCCAACTCTTATCTATGGAAAAGGTAGCAAGCATAAAAATTGATGGCAATCAATAATGGAACATATCATCTCAGCAAACAAGCTGACCCTTTATCTATGAGGAAGGTAGCTCCAATGTTAGTTACTAACAAACAACACTGTCCCAACAAAGAAGCTGGCTCTTACCTTTGAAAAAGGCAATGTTCACCATTAACTAAAGGGTGGACACAACTACAAAAACAAAAAATGCATTAAAAATGTACACATACAATAGAAAAAAGAAACTTTAAGCAACAGTGGGTGTCGCTACATCCAAAGACATAAAAAATCTGGAAGTGAACAAATTTCATACAGGAAAAAATTCAATGACAGGTGCAAGATAAGGAAAGAAACCACAAACCACCAGAATACAATTCTAAAAAACAGTTTCATAACTTCCAAAAATACCCATAATAATGCACCAAACCAAAACTTTTATTCAAGTGCCCACAACAACTCTGTCATAATTTCTGGTCTTGAATAAAATAACACAATTGCCAAATTTAACAAACAATCTTTTTTTCATACGCACAAAAATCCAATGCACATAGGGGTGAAAATAAAAAGAGCATACCTTCATCTTCACACAGCTTAAATAAAAACCCAAAGTACAAACTTAGAAATGGCAATCTCAGAGCTCAATCTGCAAATCACCAGCAACCGGCAAATAACATAACCACATTTCCTGCCAAGCTGCCAAGCTCAAAAAACCCCTCATAAATGAGGCTGCAAGAGATAACACACAAGAGGCATGACTTCACACAAGGGTGCGACCCTTCCACAATACAAGGAGCTGGTCTAGCCCCAGGACCTGCCAGACTCTCACTGGGTCTCAGTTATAACCGCAAGTCTGACTGTTTTGCCAGTGAGGACGGCCCTTCACCATACACTTAGTCTATCCTCAAAGTAAGTCCAGGCACGACCCTTCCTTTACTACCAGATTAGTAGGACAGGCTTAACTAACTAATTAAATCACAACAACGCCCCTATCTATCTACCCTAAGGTCCCAAGGGGCCTTTTTCTTACCTCTGATCCAAAGTGAGGGCTCAGAGAGAGTGGGCTGGTTACCTGTGGCCCAAAGCCAGGAAGTGGTCAGAAATCCCAGCTGGACAGCAGGTCTCTTCCAGCAACCGTCTCTTCCCGGCCAACGCACCAAAAACTGTCGTGGAAAAACCCAATGAAAAAGACAATAGACAGCAATACAATAACAATAATTCTTACCCTAAGATTCAGAGGTTTATTTTGCTAATAATTTGGAACATAGCAAGCATAATAACACAACATCACTTTCATTAATAATAATACGTTCGTATTGTGAAACAGCATAAAGTTCAAGTTAGAGCTTCAAATAACTTCTGTGGGGGCCTATTTCAGATTTTTTCTAGCCTCATCTTGTTATATGAGGAAGGGGCTATATTTTCATCTCCCACAGGAGGCTGGGATATTACCAAATTCTGCAGTTCAATTCATGGCCCGGAATAGTTGACAATTTACTTTATTAGTTGCATTTTTAAAATTTTAAGTCAACATTTTTGTAACAAAAAATACTGGCTACTTATTGACAATTCTAAATGAGTATTTTCTTTTTTATTTATTGTTTCTTCATCCATTTTTACAGCTAAAAGTTACTCAGGAGCCAAGAGCAAAGAAAGGAAGACGCAATCAAAGTGTGGAACCTAAAAAGGAAGTAAGGAACAGCATGGCAATTAAATACATGCACTTGTGGGTGAGGGAGAAAACATTATTCAAGCATATTTTCCTTCTGACTGTTTACAAATTCATTTTCTTCATGTTTTATAACTCAGAAAAGTTATGATCATTTATTGAAAGAGCATGTTTCAATCTGTTTAAAGTTTCATCATTTGGAAGTATTGTTTTAATTCACCTTGTATACTAGCCATATTCTACAAATTGGAGTATCCATTTGGAACTGATTCCAATTTATCTGTCCTTAATAGAGATAGAATGTGAAGCTATAAGGTTTCATGCTGGTTCATGATTTCTGCCTATAGGCAAAAAGAAGGGGGGGGGGGAAAGATTGATGTGTATATTAAGAATACATGTATGGACCCATTCAACTGCTGAGTATCTTCGGAGATGCCTAAATTCCTATTCTGTAAGGTTATAATACTAGTTTAGAGGTGCAATGGCTCAGTGACTTAATGACCTTGCAGATGGTCTCAGCTGGGCGGTTCGAGACTTAGCATTGTAAGGCAGAGTAAGCTCCTGTCACTTGCCTCAGCTTCTGTCCATCTGACAGTTTGAAATCATGTTCCATGCAAGTAGATTGCAGGCAGTTAGATTCCTGACAGCTCTAAACCTCCCGGTTGCCTCTTTGCAAGGCAGTTCAGGGAAGGAAGGGGGCCTTGGGTGATGCTGCAGGAAGACCCATTTGTCTTTCTCTCTGGTGTGAAGCCAGCTCGCCCTCCTGGGGCACACCTTGGGAAGTACACAAGCGTGTCCTATAACAGAATTGGTACCTTGGCAAGTCAAGCTACTACTCTGCAATAGCATTGTGTTCTCCTGGCTACTGTAACAATGCCATACACCGATAGTAATAATAGTTAATGGAGATATGCAAAACTTAATAATTTGGAAACCAAAATCTTATTACTAAGTAATCATATTTTATAATGTATATGTGGGCTCCTTGATGTTCTCTAACTTGGGTTTTTCCTTGCAGGTGTTTCATTACACAACTAGGTAACATCATCAGTGTTGCATTGGTGATGTTACCTAGTTGGATAATGAAACACCTGCAAGAAAACAACCAAGTTCAGACAGCATTAAGAATCCGCCAGTTGCAAATATTTTTTTCTATCGATACCGTAATGCATGTGATTTCCCCCCCCCATTGCATGAAATAATGGTAAAGTCATTGGCCTGATAATGTTTTAATTGTACAATGTGGCATTACATTTTATTTAAGCAATATTTAGAATTATGTTGATTCAATACATATTTTTCAGTCTTTATCTTTCTGATCTAAATGATTGTAGTCCTTTTCATTGGCCATTGTAGTGACACCTTCTTTGTTATGTTAGGAACCAGAGCCTGAAACAGAAGCAGTCAGTTCAAGTCAGGAAATTCCCACAATGCCTCAACCCATTGAAAAAATTTCAGTCTCAACCCAGACGAAGAAATTAAGTGCCTCTTCCCCTAAAATGCTGCATCGAAGCACCCAGACAAATAATGATGGTGTGTGTCAAAACATGTGCCACGAAAAATACACCAAAATCTTCAGTGACTTAAAAGATAGAATCAAGGCTGATCACAAGAGGGAAACTGAGAGAGTTGTGCGAGAAGCTATTGAGAAGGTAACTGACTATCAGTTTGATGACAGCTTGAGAATGTTCTAATTAGTTCTAATTATTCATTATTGCTGAAATTTATTTCTGTACATACCTGTTTTCATTCATTCAGGACTGGAAGATGGCCCTTTTTCTGTACAAAGATGATAATCCCTTGGCTGATCACTCTGCAATTAATTTTTTTTAATTGATCATTTTAAGTGAGAAGTCCATTACTGCTACAG